ATCCACTTCACCGCTAGGTAAATATCGATATTTCATGGACAATGATCTGTTTAACTAAAATATTCCAGCATTTTATTGGGCGTAGTTACACAAGTGTAGCCCGTTGAATGATATTGAGTGGAGAATCGAATAAATGTGGTGTTTGAAATCCAGTTAGATCCTAGTCAGGTCACCTTGGTACGTTCTTCTCTCCAAATTAAAAAGATTAATCACATGACATGGATTTTGCCTCAAAGATTGTTATGAACAATAATAGTGCAATTATATCTAAGCAAATGTAAATGTACAATATTGACGTTAATTCCCAGGGCAATATAATTTATTTGTGGCAAATGATTGACACGACTTTATCACAGAAATAAAAAAAGTTGAGTTGATCAACAAGACTCTAAGAGAAATGTTAGGTTGCTCAATAATTGTGCACTTGGTAGCTTCAAAAGTTAGATTTTGTGAGACTCTGTTCGAATTGATGAAAATATATACCTGAGTTGGATAATGCCCATTTACCACTTTTGTTAATGCAAAAGAGCCGATCCTATGATTTAAAATAGATGAAATAGCAGTAAATGTTGAACGAGCAAAGATCTAATTAGAGTCAATTTTGTTTATTTTAATTACCACGATGATCGGTTGAGTTATTATTGTTCTGAAAGGGTAAATTTCTGGGCTTTTGGTTCTATAGTGGGAAATAGATATTGAATTTAGAGTATCTAGCTGGAAAAACACTCAAGTGATCATTTATTAATATGAGTGACACGGGGATTTATTGGCGACAGTGATTTCTACAATTTAGAGCAGAAGTATGACGGAAGAGGAAGAAAAGAAATCGGCAAATCAGAAGAATTTCTTCTCACGAATTAGGCATTCAACGGTGTGGAAAGATTCCACAAACATTCTTCTGCTCGTTTTTCTCTACACACTGCAAGTAAGTTCACTCATTATACATTTTGGCGGGTAATTGGATTAAAAAATAGATTAATAAACATATTGTACCATGTTATTCTATGTTGGGTATCGCTTGTTAGAACAAAGTAAGTACGCCATAAATGTTACCGAATTAATTAAACGATCTTCCTTCTTATGCCAACATATCTCCTTTTGATTTGCATTTCTGATTTCGATGTAGCACTATCCTCACATTCCGATATTGAACATTTTTAGCCAATTGGATTACTCCTTTTAACTAGCTAAATTGTTTCGAAATTAACCTGAGTCTAAATATTTGCGTTTCGCATCACAAGTTCTAAAAGTTGGCTCTGTCTTCATCCCATTTGCATTATAAATAACATCAAAATTTAGATTCATTTTTTTCCAATGTGTTCAATGTGGTACTTGTAATGTGCTCATCCTCAAATTCAGAATTCACCGGTGCACAGTAGCACTCTTGATGCCAGAAGAAGTGGAGGAGTTGGCAGGAATCGAGTTTCATGACACAATCCTATTACTGTTGACCTAGTCAATCTCATGTGTGTGGCCTCACGGGGACCACGTTAGCGGTCAAATAAGGTCATGTGTGAGGAGACCTCTCTATAAACAAACAATCAATAATCATTTCAAGGTCAAAGTAAACGAAATCATCTTCGTTGAATTTTCTCTGGCTAATGATTTTGTCTACATTGGTTGGGTGTCGAGAAGATATCCTCAATAGGAAGATCGAATGAACTGATTGCCCATATTTTTCTTTGGAATTCAAATAGTCTGTTTTGTGTGCACCACATCGATCTCTTAAGTGCAATACTACAATTTACAATGTTATTTTAATTCATTCAGTAGTATTTCATGGTGTGCTTTAAACGTAAAATTTTGCCTAAGTCAAATGTAATTGTATCATAGTGAGAGTAAGTGAATTTCTCCATTGAAAGTCCATTCAATCTAATACTCCTATAAACCAGATCCAATGTCATTCTATTTTTTTGCACCCTGGTGAAGAACCTTCCCTTAGTCAGGAGTATGAGGTCTACGACTCTTGCCGACGCACTTTCTAAGAAGTCGATGGCCAAATTGGCTCGTTGATACACTTTGAAAGGACTCAAATTCCTGATAATATCACCTTATTTCACGATGGCGTAGCGAGTAACGTACACACCCACCAAGTCAAGTGGCCTTTCGCTGTCCATCGAATCACACACCTCTGGGGAGTGCAACCAAATACAGAGAGACTCTATGGGATCACCCTCTACCTAAATTTAGTGAAAAATTCTTGGTAAAGCTTTATTAGCAGTTACTGGTTTATTGTCATCGAAAAACTAACTAGGCTATATAGTCAAGATAACAGATTGGCATTCGATTAATTTTTCTACGATTTCTTAATTTATTTTAGCATGACCAATTTGTTCTTCAACTCTGTAGGGTATTCTCATTGGTATTACATCGGTTGTTCCACTTTTACTACAATCAAACCAGAGAACTGTCAGTTATCGAGATGTGGGCATCTTTTCATGGGTTTTCTGGACATTTTCACTCAAACTCATCTGGGCACCCTTCGTGGATACGTTCTACTTCAAGCGAATCGGTCGACGAAAGTCCTGGCTCATTCCTGTACAATTAGCTATTGGTGGTATGTTTTTCATTATCGGAGGTTTTGTCGATCGTTGGTTGGGTCGACCTGTGGGTGATGCTTGGGGACCCCTGGGAACCACTGGTGATGTCCAAATTTTTGCCCTCACTGCAGCATTTTTCAGTCTCAAGTTCCTCGCTGCCACTCAAGATATCGCAGTGGATGGTTGGGCCATATCTATGCTATCCAAGTAAGAAACTCGTGTTCACTAACTCGACACTTTTAGGGAGAATCTAGGCTGGGCCCCAACATCTCAAACCATAGGACAAAGCATTGGTATACTAGTCGGCTCCACTCTTTTCATGATTTTTGAGTCCCCAGATATGTGCAATGACCATTTTCGTTCTACTCCTATCCCTGGAAAAGGATTCATCAGCTTCTCTGGTAGGTTGATAGAATATGGATCACAATTAACCCTCTTTCAATCGATTAGGTTTTCTTTACGCCTGTGGAGTGCTTTTTACTATTTCAACAATTCCGGTTGGTTTGTTTAAGAAGGAAATTGAAAATTCCAATCATGAGACTTCCTCACAAGTTGTTGATGTAACTGTGAATGAAAATGATGGCAATGAAGAAGCCTCGCGTGATCCAGTTGGTTCAGAGGAGCTGGAATTACCATCAAACAAAGAAAATGAGATGTTAGAAGCGAAGAATGAAAATCAGACCACCATGTTGAGGTGTAAATTCTTCTCTCGAGCTTACATAACAATGATCCGAATGTTGTTGCTGAAACCAGTTCTTGTATATGTTGCGTTCATATTAGCACGAAACGTAGGTTTTAAGTTGATTTTACTGCAAATATTTCTTACATTTGTGCGAAATATATCTGAAGCAACATAATTAATCATGTTATCTTTGTGTAATAAGCTATTTTTTTATAACCTTCTATATGTATGTCTGTGAATTTATATAATTTATGTATGTGAGAGGAACATCTTCATATGGCACCTTTTGTCTTAAGGTTGGTGACATTCCATTGCAGCATTCAGTTACAGAAGTTAACCACGGTTTTTAAGACCAGTCGAATACTCAGACAGTAGATGAAACAACGTGTCCACTTAAATTTAGCAGCAATTGCTTTAATTGAAGTAGTCACTGGAGAGTGTGCAATCAGCTGATTGACTTAATGATCTTGACCCAACTCCATTGACTCGAATGATCATATTAGTTTTTATATCTCACTTTCAGTTCATTTTCATTGCAAGTGATTCTGTCTCCGGGTTGAAGCTTATCGAAAGAGGACTCTCGAAGGAAAGGGTTTCCCTTATAAGCCTGTTTATGATACCTTACGACATTGTACTCCCACTTCTTGTCGTTCGATGCACCAGCGGCCCTCGACCAATCAGCACTATGCTCAAATTCTCCATTCCATTGTCAGTTTCTTTTCCGTTAATTAACTCCTTACTGCTGATGTTCACAGACTTCTAATAATCTCTCTCTCTCTTTCTCTCTGTCTCTTTCAAATTTAGATTCTTCCTGTCTTTTACATCAATACCACTTGTCTACTACATTGATTACTTTAAAACGGAGACACCGATTAACTCAACAATCGTTAATGGAAATAGCAGCAGTATAATCCAAGGTACCAGGGTGACCATATCACCCTACTTCTACGCAATCATCGCGATTCTATCTGCCATTACTTCTTTACTTCAATCAATTGTATATTTGAGTCAAGGGACCTTTCATGCTCGAATTGCTGATCCATTACTTGGGGGTACTTACATGACTCTACTCAACACACTCGCCAACCTATGTAAGTGTTATTGAGTACTCAGTCTGTTTTGTCATCATTTTTGCAACACCAAAGTGGCTTCTATTTAAGAGCTGTGGCATCCTTGGAATGTAGACCTAATGGCAGATTCGAAAACTCACACGGTTTCTGCTTTCTTATTAGCCTCTGCTCTTCCTTCTACTGTCGTACTTTTCTTCATTGATCCATTGACGTGGCGCACGTGTGAAAATGCATCGGTGGAGAAGGCCATCAGCGCCCTTAATAGCACCTCAACTAATCGCACTGAGTTGGTAGAACTCGCGGAGAACTTCTTGTCAACTAATGCCACGTGTATGAACTATGAAGGCAAGGAGGCCTGCGAATTAGCCGGTGGTGCCTGTCGAACAATCGTGGATGGCTACTACTTGATGTCTGGTGTGGGTTTCGTGTGTGGCATTGTCGGCTTCTACTTCCTGCATAAAATGTCCAAGTACTTAGATGGAAAGACTGTGGAGGAATACAGAGTGCACGAAAAGTCCGAATCACCTGAAACGTCAGAAAGTTTCTGAGCTGCTTAACTGATTTGC